CAAGTGTGGCCTTTTTGAGAACTTCTTTTGGAATGCTTTAGTCAGCATTGCCATTGCCTGTTTGATCTCTGACATTTCARAATCTGAATCTGAGCTGTTACTGTCTTTTTTTTTCAGACTCACTTGACTGGCTAACTTCTTTGATTTGCTTTCCAGATCTGCTTTTTAATTTCTTCTCATTTCTCTCAGATACAAGAGCCAAAGGATCAGCAACTTTTTTTTCTTTCTTCTTTGCATTTCGGATTTCCAAAACATCTTGCTCATTTTGTTTCAGAGTTTCATAGATTTCATGAAAATCGATATCAGATAACTGTTTATTGAATTTGATATGATTAGCAAATGGTTTCCACTCTGACTGGAGATTGTTAAGAAACTTAACATTAATCTCTATTATAGTTTTAGAAATTCCATTCTTTGTCAGTTCATTAAGCAGTCTGGCAAGCCTATTATAGACATCATCAAGACTTTCACCTTATTTAACCTTGAATTCTTCATAAGCTGAAATACAATTAGTAATCTTCAATTGAGTTCCCACTTTTGAACCCATCATCATCTTTTCAATTTGAATCCACATGCTGTGACCTGATGATTTATGACTGTCAATACTGGTGTAAATATCATTAGTCAATGCTTGCATCATATAAGACTTGCAAAGCACATCAGCATGGGCTCTCTCTTTTTCTTCAGATGAATATTGGTGCTTTAGTTTAGGAACTCTCTCTGTAGGTATGCCTTCTACTACATCAGCATCTATCTCTAGGAAGAATTCACCAGGACCTTCCATTAAAGATTTCATAATCAGATCTCCATTATTCACTCTCTCAACGAAGTTCACAAATCTGTCTCTCCACTGATTATAATCACCACGAAATAGAACAGGTGGCTTGGTGTCGGTACCAATAGTCATTGCTTCTCGTGAACTCAAATTTATAACACATATTAACAATATGTGCGCATATAAATTAACAAGTCTTGTATACAGATTACTGGTTAAGGCGTGGGAGTCAATGCTTGAGGTCGCGGGTTCAAATCCCGCCGCGCGCTCCCTTCCCTGCCATATTTTTAACATGGAACGAATTTGGATCCTGGGTTGGGCCGCCCAGTTCAAACACAACACCAAAAAAATGTAAGGAAACAGCAGCCATGGCTGCACTTTTTTTAAACTTAAAAAGCTTGAAAACGACTCAATTCTTAACCTTTTTTCTTCATTCTTTTTGCACAAATCTCTTGGTAATATTTTTACCAACACTTTGACATAAAGAACACGAATTTTCATCAGGAAATGAGTTGCATTTACTCATTTAAAATTTGTTTTTAAAACTAAAACTTAACAACTTAAAAACATAAAAATCGAACAACGAAAACACAAATATGAGACATGAGGCTACTGGGGTTTGATAGAGTACTTAAAAACGAAACTATAAACATAAAAATCAAGAGATTTGGTTAAGAATCTCACCCAAAATCGGTGAAAAACCGAGATTTTTGATTTCGAACTTCAAACTAAGATTTCTCTCTCAAAACTTACGATTTTTCAAGCTATTTGAACCTAAACGTTCCTAAGCCAGAGCTCTACAATTTATATGCCAAGAGTTTTGGCTTATTAGTTGAAGAAATCAGACAAATCGCGAGTTTTAGGCTGATGGGTCGTTTTCTCAAACAATTATGTACTTTTGGCAAAACAGATCCCTCATCTTTGAAAAAGATGACATTCGACCCCCTCAAGTTTCTGACATTTACCATTAGACCCCTCCTGACGTAATATCTTACATTTTTGGTCCAATAATTAAAAGAAAACACTTTTACTTTATTTTTCTTTTTTTGTCTTTCTCTTTATTATTTATTTATTTAAGATTTCTATAATTATTTCCTTTAGTTTATTACGTAAATATTTTAACACTTCAAATAAATTTAAAAATATATATATTTAAAGGCTCATATAATATTATTTATATATTAAAAAAAGGGTTTTACAACTCTCCCCCTCTTGAAAGAAAATTCCGACCTTGGAATTTCTACTTAATTTTGTCATACTTATTTTTATCTTTATTTCATATTTCTTCCATCACGAGAGAATCTTTTGGTCACTCAATCTTAATCTAATCATCTATTTATTTTAGTCTTACGTGCATGGTCAATTCGCACTTATTATAG